TCTGAGGGACAGTGAACTGGCCCCCTGTTTAAAAAGTTTGAGGACCCCTGGTCTAAAGAGTGAAATGATCATTTTCCAAATGGTCCCTTTTCTCTCCCTTGTTTCGCTGCAGAAGACGCCAAAGGACCTGTGGGAAGCCCCGAGAGTCCCCACATCGCCGCTCACACACAGACGTCACCGCGGCTGTTAGAAGTAAGTCTACACATAACACACATAACGGCTCAAGTTACTTCAGTGACACGTCAGTGTAGTTAGTCGGCGCCTCCAAGCAAGGCCCTCACCTCCCAAAGCACGCCGTGGACGGCAGTGTTGCTGTGCGCAGTGTTTCTCTCCACTGAAATTCTGCCATTAGTCATGTCAGGCAGTGACTTAAATGTCATGCCATGAACTGTGCAGCAAATTGAGATACTCCAGAGTGAGGAAGGTATTCTTCACTGAAAATAGGTAACTCAGCTGTCGTGTGCGGTGTTTGCACTTACGTGCACTTCTATGTGCTACTAGAGGCCCAGTGCTCTGCACTGGTGGGGGAGCGGTCCCCTCAGCCTGGCCTGTGCCCTCTTGCAGTCCAGGAGTCCTCGGGGGATATCTGACTGACAGCTTAGGCCCGCTCCCCACAGCCGGCAGTTGGACGCCCTTAGCGCTGCCACGGAAGCAGGAGAGGCTCCTGCCACCACTGCTGCGCTCGCCAGCCATGAGCCCGGCTTCTGGCTGAGCAGCACTCCTCCTGTGGGAGCGCACTGACCACCAGGGGGCAACTCCTGTGTTGAGCGTCTGCCCCCTGGTGGTCAGTGCATGTCGTACATGTCATAGTAACCGGTTGTTCCAACATTCAGTCAATTTCTATATTAGCCTTTTATAATATAGGATTGTTTTCTCAAAACAGTGGACACTGCATTTCCAGGTGGAATGCAGACATTTCTCATGGTTGAAACAATTCCTTTAAAAAGGATTAATCTTTCCTGGCTTTCTCATTGTTCTCACAATGTACGTATGTAACGGTGGCCGGATACACATGTGTTTGTGAATACATTGTACTTGAACATGCCCAGTGGCTCCCGGTTATGGGCCAGAAGCAGTGCACAGAGTAAGGTCTGGTCAGAGCAGAGCCTACACTGTTAAGTTTTGGTCTCTCACTGGCTTTGAAACTTGTCACTCTGGGTGAGTGACTGATGTCAAGACCAACTCAAGACACCGCCTGTAATACCTGCTTGTCTCCCTCTTTTCTTTTTGGGTGCCGTTCCTCCTAAAAGCATTCCACAGGCGCGGCTCCATGTCCACGGCGGGAACCAGTGGAGGAATGTGTGGAGGAGAAGCCAGCGGCACAGAATGGGTAAGGGGCGGGCGATGGAAACGACGGCAACTGCCGTGTGTCCATCCGGGAACGGGCGAAGCGCGTTCAGGGCTCATCTCAGACTCACTTGATGGATGGATTTGGTTTCTTACAATTTATGATATACATGTTATGGTGACATTGTGCTCCTAATGGAATTGTAAGTTCAGTTTATAGCAATGGTAAGTGATGAGTTGTAGTGACTTATACTCCTAAATCTCAGTAGAGTGAAATAAGTGAAGATATCTAGCCTTTTGTTCTCCCATCACTCTCAGCCTTATCCAAGTAAAATGTAGCTGCAAATTCACCAGGGTTTATTCAACAGCTAATTAGGGAACCACCTTTCCATACGGATTCCCTTTTTATTGGATCAAATGAGGAACCATTGTGAGTCAGTCTGTCATTACTGTGGTATAATTATTGAACACTGTTCATAAGGCTCTGGTGTAATATACTCTGCTGGCTAGGTTAGTTATGTTTCAAGAAGAGCTAAATATTTGAAATTTTAGAATTGCCTTGCATGAGAGGCAACATAATTAGATTCTCCCTTCTCAGTGTGAAAAATCTGTTCGGTTCTGTGGAAAATTAACAAGAAGAATATATTTAATGTCATGTGCCTTTACAAGTAATAGAGATATTTCTGTCACTAGAACCAGTCTTTACAGTTTTGAATGTGAGAATGGGCTCTCTCGTGTTCTGAGCCAAGGCCTGCCCCTTCCACAGGTGGAACTCGAGGTCCCAGCTCACCCCATTTCTCCACCCTCATTTGAGATTTTCTTATTTCTGTTGCTGAGCAGGCAACAGTGTCCAAGTCGTCAAGCCGTCCAGACATTGCTGTTGGCTTTGTTAGAATCTGTTACTAATCGCCATGACAAATGTAAACAGGTGGTGATTATGAGCTAACTTCACAGAGGCTGGAGTAGCGGATGTTTGGACTCTGAGATGGCTGGCCATTCAATCACCTGTCTCTTACAGAATGTAAAGAATATCTTGGTTCCTAAGCGATCATTAATCTTTAATTGTAGTACGATCGAAGCCTTTTCAAATCATGAACACACCATTCCTCATTCATTTTGTGTAGACAGAAGTTCAGAAATTCCTAGGTAAGAACTTTTGCATACACTACCATGTTATCCTGTTTTGTAAATAGATAAGAGAATAAACTGATGCCTCCTGTTACCTTTTGAAATAATTACTGAATGTTTTCACCAAAAACTAAGAGAATAATATGAAATCAACAAGAAGCATTAAAAAAGTGACGTAGGTACACATTTCTGACACCTTTAAGTGAATTATTAAAAGATTTTCCTCTAGCCCTAACTGGTTTGGCTCAGAGGATAGAGTGTCGGCCTGCAGACTGAAGGGTCCCGGGTTTGATTCTGGTCAAGGGCATGTACCTTGGTTGTGGGCACATCCCCAGTAGGGGGCGTGCAGAAGGCAGCTGATTGATGTTTCTCTCTCATCGATGTTTTGAACTCTCTATCCCTTTCCCTTCCTCTCTGTAAAAAATCAATAAAAAGTATATTAGAGAAAAATCTTTTTTTTAATAGGTGTGTTTTAAAAAAATACAGGAACTATTTTAGAACAGGCTTTTTGAAAAAAGTAGTGGCTCTTATCAAGAGATGGGGCAGTTGCTCACTCTCAGTCCCTAGCGGGTTCCAGCAGCACACAGAATGCTTTTATCCGCGAGCAGACGCGTCCAGTCTGCCGCTGCATCTTCGCAGAGGCGGAGCCCTGTGTCCCACGTGGAAATCTTGCTGGGAGGAGGATCATGTAGCACAGCTTTACTTTAGAAAATTCTCCGTCGCTAGAATTGACCTCCTTGCTACTCATTGTCTAAGTCAGGCAAGTGAGTTGTAATGCCTGTTTTCCATGGAGTTGACAAGCGAGCTTTTGTTCTTGTGAACCTTAGGTGTTTGGTAAAAGGCGAATATTGCTGAAAGGAAATGAGAGCAAGGCCTCATAAATGTAAATGCAATTTAATACGTTCTTTTCTTTTTAGAGACAGTGATCAATTTGGGTAGGATAATGCCTGCTCCCTTATTTAGTTTAGGAAATTGATTTGCTTAGAAAACATTGAGTACCTGCTATGTTTAAGGAATAATCATTTTAGTTTGTTTTTAGGGTTTAATTATAAAAACAAACTCTGATTTGTTCAGAACAGTATTTGTTCATAATACTGTTATTTCACATTTAGTGATCAGTGTGAGTTTGCTGTATAGCAAACTTAGAATTAAACATTTTTTAACTCATCTTAGAATTAAACATTTTTAACCCATACATTCCCTGTTTTCTTTAATTTTTGTATGTTTTTATTGATTTCAGAGAGGAAGGGAGAAGGAGAGAGAGAGAGAGAGAGAGAGAGAGAGAGAGAGAGAGAGAGAA